CCCCCTCCCTCCCTGTCTCTCCTTTAAAAAAGATGTATCTTAAATTAAAAAAAAAAAAGATGCTTTGAGGACAATGGGGGTAGCTGCAATGTGGCCCCTGTGTTAGATATTTGTGGGATTACAGGTTTTTTTGAGGGGGGGGTTGTTTATTTTTTGGGTGAGATAATCACATGCTGGTTGGGTAGGAGAATGTCCTTGTTCTGGGGGGAATAAAAAGGTCATGATGCCAGACATTCTCAAAGGATCCAGAAAACAGTACTTAGCTGCAGGGGGTGGGGATGGGGATGGGGAGCCCGTGTGTACCAGCACACTACCAGGTGACGCCTAGTGACAGCAATAGTTGACACCGATTGCAGGTGAACAGGGGTCGGGGATTATGCCTTTGACTTCCTGTGCGTTTGAGATTTTTCATAATAAAAATTGGGGGGATAAGGGAGAAGGAAAAAAAAATAAAAGATCATGGAACTGAAAAAAAAAATATATATACAAGGGTACTAGACACTAGAAATGGCTCCTGTCTGTGACCCGGAGGTGGGTCTGTCTGCCCCATTGACAGGGAAAGCCTGGGTCTTGTTCATCACCATCCATCACAGAATGGGAAACTCAGGCAACCTGCAGGCATAGAGCAAACAAGGGCTCTTCTGTCACCTCCCTGAGCCTCAGTTTCCCTATCTGTAACGTGAAAATAAATACCCTTTCTGCTCAGGGATTTTTTTTCCTTCATTGAACTGGCTCCCTCCTCCTCCGGCTTCAGTGAGTTACAATTGTATCCAATGAAATCCACCCCCTGAAGCGCACAGTGGGATGCCTTTTCACAAATGTATACAGTTGTATAATCATCCCCACCATCATGTAGAACATTACTCCTGATTCCCCTTGTGATCCTTAACAGTTGATCCCCACCCCACAACCCCCAGCCCCTTATCACCCCAGCCCTGATTGCTAGTCATTTTGATTTTTTTTGCCATTCTAAACAGGTGCATAGTGCAATCTCCTGATGGTTCTATTTGCATTGCTCCGACTCCCAGGTCACTACCCTTGTGCCTTTTCTGGAATGTCCTGGAAAGGGAATCGGATTGAATAGAACCTTTCATCTGGTTTCTTTTAATCGGGGAGCACGCATTTGAGCCTCATCCGTATGGTCACGTGTGTGCTCCTCGTCCATTCCTTTTGTGTCACTTAGTGATGTCCCACGGAGATTGGGATAGACGACAGTTTGCTCATCCATGGCCAAGTTCATGGACATTTAGATTCTTTCCCATTTTTTTTTTCCTTTGAAGTTTCTATTAACATTTTCATGCAGGTACATGCGTGTGTGTGATTATGAACATGGTTATTTCTCTTGGCAGTGGAACAGCTCAGTTGTAAAGTCAGAGTTCACCGAACTTCATGACCACCCCCACCACAACAATGGGTGAGAATTACAGTTTCTGCACCCTCTCACCAATCCCTGCGATTGCCAGTTATTTTTTTTAATATATATATTTTTTAGTTATACATGGACACAATATCTTTATTTTATTTTTATGTGGTGCTGAGGCTCGAACCCAGGGTCTCTCACGTGCGAGGCGAGCGCTCTACCGCTGAGCCACCACCCCAGCCCCGATTGCTAGTCATTTTAATTTTTTTGCCATTCTAAACAGGTGCGTGGTGGAATCTCCTGATGGTTCTATTTGCATTGCCCCGACTCCCAGTGCTTTCAAGCATCTTATTTGCAATCCAGAGCTTCTCTGGGGAGGTGTCTGTTCAGATACTCTGTGCATTTTTTTTGTTTTTAATTCGGTTGTTGGTTTTCTTACTGTTGAGTTGCAGGAGTTCTTCCCATATCCTCGGCGCTGGGCTTTTATCTGAGAGGTGTTTTGCCGGAGTTTTCTCTCCGGGTTATTTTAAGCATTAAATCCCATCGTGCACACCCAGTGAAGTGGTGGCTCCTATCATCATCATTATTACGATTTTATTACTCCACAGTGTCATGTGGCGAGGAGGATGTGCCTCCCACCAAAACTGCCAGGGCCACCTGCCAATGGAACCTCCTCAGTGCCCTGGAATCCACCGAGGTCCCCCTCCCCTCCTCAGGGATCCCCGGTCACGCTTTGTGGGGTTGTTTGTTGTTTATAATATTCATTTATCAAAACCTGCCAGATGGCCTAGGCTGTTTGGCAGGAGGCTACGCGTGGGAGGGGGAGGAAAGGCCTCAGAGATTGGCCTTGCCCTTCCTGCCCTCCCTGAGGGACAAAAACCACTGCCTTCCCATCTCCTGGCTCCCATCCGCAGCCCCAGCATGCTGGAGGCATGCAGAGATGCCCCCACATTGGTGCCACAGCCTCGTACCCTGATCTAGAGTTCTGACTCTCATTTGCCCTATGAGCATTGAGGCAAAATGCAGATGCCCCAAGTCCCACATCCCAGAAGGGTGGCCTTGGGAATCTGGACACATGTTCTTCACACTGAATGTCGTCACTCTCATTCAGCACACGGCCATCGGGCCCCATCACACAGTGACTCCTGAGCGCCGGCAGGTCCCAAGCGCCGGGTTCTTCATGAGTGATCTTGCAGAGAGGAGTGCTTGTCACTGAGTCCCTCTCCTATTTTATAGATGGCAAAATTAAGGCTGAAAGAGACGAATGGAGTCACTCGGTAAGTCAGCAGAGAGCAGGACAGGAATGCAGGCACTGTCCCCCAGCCTTGAGGGGACATTGACTGCGGGGCCGGACGGAATCTTCTGCTTCTGTCTCTTTATGGACCTGCCCCCATCTGTAAGGCCACAGTTCTGGGGAGGCCCCAGGATGGCGTCTGGGCATCCTTGGTCAACATCACAGCCCTTGGGATCCCCCACCCTCACCCATGATGTTCCTTCCCCCTCCCACCCCTGGAAGCTCATTTTGGCTCCCATAATCCCTGGCAGGGCTGATGGTACCTCACCCTGTCTATGCAAGCGTCACCCTTATTCATTCAAAATTTCTCAGACCCTGCTGGGGGCCTGGTGTATAAAGGGAGATCTGGCTATGTTAGGAGTCTGTCTAGGTTAAGGCTCCCTGCATGCAAACCAGACCCTTCTAGAACTGTCTCCCTCAGAGGTGCATCCTGTGTGGGAAATGCTGTTTGCACAAGGACATTTGTGCTCATGGAAAAATACTAGAGAGACCCAAATGCCTGCCAGCCGGGCCCTGGCTCACTCCACCCAGGGAGAGTCAAGCAGGGGTGTATTATGCAGTTGCAAAACAGGACAAGAGAGCTGTTCTTGTGCTGAAATGGAAGGATATAGAGGAGAAAAGAGAATCGTGTGTGTGTGTGGCGCACTGGGGTGCTCTACCACTGAGCTACATCCTGAGCCCTTTTTATTTATTTTTTTTTATTTTGAGACAGGGTCTTGCTAAGTTGCCCAGTCTGGCCTCGATCTGGTGATCCTCCTACCTCAGCCTCCCAAGTCATTGCAATGACAGGGGTGTGCCACCATGTGTCCAGGAAGGACATGCAAGAGAATGTTAAGTGAACAAAGGTGTATAGGGCAGTGAAAAAAGAAAAAAAGAAAAAAAAAAGATCTTTACTTTTTTCTGCAAGGACGCCCAAGGAGCTGACAACACTGGCTGAGTTCTGGGCAGGCGCCAAGGGGTTAAGGATGGGGGTGGGAGACACTTTTCACCCTCTACCTTGTCACCTTTTGAATTTCCCCCCACCTCCGGGAAACCTCTGATGTTGTTGCCCAAAAACGTCCTGAGTAATCTAAGTGATTCAGAGGTGAGGCTCACTGCCCCCTCCTTGTCTACATCTAGGTGTGCTCGGGAGGTGTCTCCCACCAACTCCCACCTGGCCCCGCTTTGGGTCAGGCTGGACACCTCTAAAGGAACGGCTCCTTTAGGGGAATCCATGTGTTCAGCCAAAACCCTAGTCCACGGAGTCCACTCGGATCCAGTGAGGACACTCTTCATGCCTCTGCTTGGGCCTCAGGAAGGGTTGGATTTAGCAGCCAGACCTCCCTGAGTTCTGACTTTGTGCCGGGAACATGCTAACCCTGACCCTAACCCTTTAAAGCAAGTCTGATTAAAACACCCATTTTACAGTTGAGGAAACTGAGCCCAGTTAAATCCATAACAGGCCAGGGGGAGTAAACCGGAGGGAGAACTCAGTCCCACAGGCTCTTGGCAGCCTCCTGAGGCCGACTGGCTTGGGTCCCTGTCCTTGAACCCATTGGAAGGCCTGAGCTCAGGGGGGGTCCTTTCTCTTGCTTGGGCTGGGAACCCAAAGATGCATCCGGCCTGGGTCTGTGGGTTCCCATACAGTGTGATGAGGGTTTATGGGAAGCTCAGAGGAGGGACAGGGAATTCTAGTTGAGACACCAGAGGCTTCCCAGGCTGAACCAGAAAGATGAGGAGAGGTTATCAAGTCCCTGACTCCTTGCAGGCTCACTATCTTCTCTTCCCACACCTACCGCTCGGGCCTGCTTTTATCTTTTGATTTGCAGGCTTCCCCGGCCTCCATCTGGGGGAGGCTCCAAGCTTACTTATCGCCCGGCCTCCTCCCTCAGCCTCCATCCCTTTCCTGCCTGCCCAGCCACTGTGACCTCTGGCTCTCAGGTTCTGTCTGCACACTCCATGCCCACCAGTGTCCCGTGTTGACTTACTCCAGGTATTCCCAGTTGGAGAGGGAAGCCCCCTGCCAGGGCCCTTGCACTAAGGCGACATATGCTGACAAACTGAATGGTCACTGTCTAGGATACAATTCCAGAAGGAGTAATGGAGGTTTGAAAAAAAAATGGCTGTAAATTCTGACATTCCTTCAGTGAGAGGCAGAGGTCTGTGTCTCCATCCTTTAAAATCTGGGTGGGCTGCTTTGACCCACGGGGTCAGTCAGAAATGATATTGGGTGACCATTTCATACTGCATCAGAAAAGGCTGTGAGAAGTGTCACTGGGTGATCTTACGACAGTCACACTCATGAAGAAGCCCTGGCCCACACGTAGGGGCCAGAGGAGGTGTTCCAGTGCACAGCCCTGGTGGGGCCGAGCTCGGTGTCTTTCCTGCCCAGGTGCTGGACACGCAGGTGATGGACCTTCCAGGTGGAATCCAGCTGGGGGGGGGTCGCATGGGACAGAGCCAGGACCACCTTATGCCAGTTGTTTTCGGTCACAGAGTTTAGGTCGGTTGGTGTGGCAGCAGGACGTGGGGAGGGTGGGGACTTTGTGAATTTCTTCATCTCTGATCACTATTCCTTCATCAACAGCTACCTGCTGGAACCTTTGAGGGACTGGGGATGTGGCGGCAGCACCAGGTTGGAACTTGGCTGGAGGTCAAACCCTAGACCAACTGTTTACCCTGCCCCAATAAAACAATGAGGCAGGATTAGATCCGGGAACATTTCCTGGGACTCTTGCTACTTTCTCCAAAAACCATTAAACCATACTCAGTTCCTGACACCATTTTAGTTTGGAGTCTGTTTTTTTTTTTTTTTTGGTACTGGGGATTGGACCCAGGATTGCTCTATCATAGAGCGACATCCAGCCCTTTTTATTTTGAGACAGGGTTTTGCTAAATTGTCCAGGCTGGCCTTGGACTTGTGATCTTCCTGCCCTACTCAGCCTTTTGAGTTGCTGGGATTACAGACCTGTGTCCCTGTACCTAGCTAGTCTGGGGTCTCAAAATCACTAGATGGTGATGAGACCCCCTTCTGGATCTGAAATCCTGAGACGATCTGTTTGGGTAATCCAGAAAGGCTGCACATAAGGAACAGGATTTGAGCTGCAAAGAATAGGCAGAATTAAAATAATTATGGTCTTTTATCTCTTTATATGAAAATATTATATCAACAGGATGTCAATCTGTTGTATTAGCCTATTAAAATTTTATATATTTAATACAGCCTGAAAATAATACATACTTGTTGCAGAAATGTTTGACAGAAGAAATGTGAAGAAGAGAAACAGCTGGGTGCAGGGGTGCACCCTGGCAATCCCAGCTATCTGGAAGGCAGAAGGATCACAAGCTGGAGGCCAGTGTATTTAGCAATACACTGTCTCAGAAAATAAAAAAGAACTGGGGATGAGCTTTGGTGGCAGAGTGCCCCTGGATTCAATCGTCAGTACTGCAAATAAAGGAAAAAAAAAAAAAAGAAAAAAGTGGGGGTGGGGTGGTGGGGGGGGGGGGGATGGGGGGAGAGAAAGAGAGAGAGGAAGAAAAAAGATGAGCCCCACCTCTAAGTCCACCTCTGCAACACAGGCTCTGCCCTGTTGCGTAGGGACAACTTTGAAGATTTTTGCATCCTTCCTGCCACACAGATCCGTTCCTGGCTCACAAATCCTCCAGCACCAAAAAATAACCTGCAGATTCAGGACAGTGTAAATCTATCCTCAAGAGGCCAAAGAAGCCACTGCTCTAATCACGCCCGGGGCATCCTGGCTGCTGGCCCAACAGATGTCTGAATCCATCTGAGTCCTGGGCACCGGGGATAGGAAATGAATTCCCTTCATCAGCGGCTCACAAGCTCCCAGCAGCCCTCCTCCACCAGGGACAAATTCTTCTCTCCACCCAAGAATTTTTTTGCAACACTCTATAAAGCAGTTTCCCAAGGTCAGCCATCTGAATGCCCTTTCTTCGTTCATACAAGATCAGTTCCAGGTTGGAAAGATGGGGGGGGTGAGCCTGCGCCCCCTGGAGTAGCCTGGGGGGGGGGGTGATCAAGGTGGCAGGCAATGGCCTTTAACTGAGGGCCGCAGTCCTGAGCAAACGGCTAGAACCCTGAGCTGCTGCAACCCTGGGAAGTCTCACTGCAGGCTCCTTTCTTCATGGCTCAGGGGGGGAAAGAAAACCCCAGCATCTGATAGCACTTCTCGTTTTAAGTGTTTCCTGGGCCACATCATGAGTCCAGGGCATTCATGGGGCTTGACTTGGGGTCTGGCTGACTGCCTGGTCTGATCTCTCCTGGGACAGTCATGACCTCTTGGAGCCAGCAAGGCAGCCACTTCAGACCTTGGACCAAGGTCATGGTCCCAGCTAAGGCCCTAGGTCTACCCAAGAGCCCTAGTGGGCGGGGGTTCTGTGTCCCCCAGAGCAGACCCTGGCCCACCCAGAGCAGACCCTGACCCCGGGGTCCTCCTGCTGGGTTCCCGGGGAAAGGTGCTAATTCTGGAGAAGCTCATGGTCACAGCAGCCACGTGATTGGGGAACAGCCAATCAAATGCTTGACCGGGCTGGGGGCGTGGCCTAGGTCGGGCCCTGCAGAGGCTGGCTGTGGCCTCGACCCTGGAGGCTGCAGCAACCAAAGCTGCTTTTACTCCTGTGGCTCTGCCGGGTGGCTGTGGCTCTTTTCCTGAGCGGGTAGTTGGCAGGCAGGAGTGTCCCAGAATAACTCCAGAGTCTAAAAATATTCCAATTTTGCCCTCTCACCACCTGGGCCGTTAACCTCCTAACCTCATCTCTTTCCACCCCTTCCCTCCCCTTATGTCCTCGACCCTGGACACAATGGCCTTTCTATTTTCCTTAAAGCTTACTTTAAAAAAAAATTATTAAGGCAATAGTACACAGTTGGCTACTTAGCCCTGCAAGATGCATAACAACAACCCTAAAAACCAGTAGCCACCTGCTCCCCAGGACTGCTCACACTCCAGGAATGAACCCAGTCAAGCATCAATTATGTGCTGAGCTCCTAGAACTGGTGATAAAACCGTGGCCCAAGTTTCCAGCCTCCCGTAGGGGGTTTAGAGTATGATGCTTATGTCAATATTGTTTCAGGCTGAGCTCAGCTGTGGGGTACATTAGGACTACTTTTCTATCTTGTGTTATTTGTTTTTCCAGGAGTTCATAATTGCCTTGGTTTCTTCTTGCCTCCAACTGGGCACTCAGTGGATCCTTTCAGTCTAGAGACTGGACCTTTTATGGGAAACTGGAAGACAGAACATAATTCCTGACTCAGTTTGATTCTATCCCTACCCGCCCCTCCACCTCCAGAGGATGTGTTTTTTTTTGGTGGGGGGCTGTCATGTCAGTGGTCTGGCCTTGGATTGGCTCTTCCCCCTCCAGAATTTTAGATTTCAGCTTCCATTAAAGTTGGTTACCCTTCCTCTTCATTTTCCAGCTTTGAACATTGGTCCCTCTTGTTCTTGGTCTTGATCTCTCTTTTATTTTCCAGTTTTTTAAACTGGTGCATTCTAAGGGCATGTAATGGTGGGATCAGTTAGTTCCTTCCCTTGTCTCTCATACTTGTGTCTCTCAGGTCTGAGCTCAGAAGACCCCTCCTGGGAAGGCCTTGATGACCACTCGTGCTTCTCGACACTGTCACCTGCTTTAATTGTGCCTCTGAGTCTTACCACTATTTGGAAAGTATTTTCTCTATTTGTGTTCATTTTTTTCTCCAGCTCCTGTATAACATTTGCTCTAAAAAAGCAGGACCTTGTCTATCCACTGTGTCTTTGGTATACAGTCAGTGCTTCACAGCGTGAGGCAAAAGTAGATGCTCAGGAAAAACGTGTTGACTGCACGCATGGGTGTGAGCATCGGATCTCAGCTCCCCGAGGATCTCCAGTCTTACTTAGAAAGGAGCTGCTATGGCCAGAGCTTCCTGGGAATCTAAGATGCTGCCAGTGAGAAGATGAGACTCCATGAGGGGAGGATGTTAGCCCAGTCTGGAGATGGCTGAAAGGGGTCAGAGCAATGACGAGAATGGACAGGATGGTCTCTGGCAAAGATGAGTGATTGACTCAAGGCCACTCAGCTACTTTCTGGCTCAGATCAGAAGACAGCCCTCTGCAGGCAGATACTGCACCCAGGCTGTGGCATTAGCTCAGTGCAGATGTTCTTCTGCCTCTCTTCTCCCTGGTGGTGTGATCATGGGCAAGTTGTTCGTCTCTGTCGGCCGTTCTTCTCACCTGTGACATCGTGATAAGAACCCCCTCTGGTCCTGCATTCTAGATAACAAGAGCAAGCTCTCTAGTAAAAAGCCTGATACAGTTCTGTAGGTGGTGGTCATGATCATCTGGGCTCAAAATCTGGTTTCATTCTGCTGTTGATGTGACCTGGGCAAGTTGCCCGAAGCCTTGGCCTTTGACAGTTTTCTCATCTGTCAAATAAGGCTCTAACCTCACCAGCTTCATGAGGCTGAATGTGAAGTCGTGAGGCCTGTCCTCCACCTCCCAGGAGGATGCACCATGTCTCAGGACCCTGGGGGGGCAAAGAGGCACCATGCTGAGGCTCCCAGGATTCCTTTGACAGGTGTCTGTGTGACCCACAGGGTTTTTTGTGCAACCTTAGCATGAACCTGGACTTGCCAGACCTGAGGGATCCATCAGAAGGAAAGGGCTGTTGTGGTGTCTTTTCAGAAAGCAGCAGACGAAGTTCAGATGCAGGCCATTTTAATGGAAGCATGGGCAGTTAAAGGCAGGGGGGACAGTCACCATCGGATAGACTGGAGTTTGGACAGTAGTTCTGCCTTTGCCAGTGGCCTTTTGACCATGCCACAACCTCTCTGATTCTCTGTTTTCTCGTCTGCTAAATGAGAACAATGATAACCAGATGAATCTTGCTGGGGTGTTGCTTTCCTCCATTCCTCCAAGTATTTGCTGAGCGCCTACTGTATGCTGGGGATGCTGCGGTGACCAAAACAGCTTGCATGATGGTGATTCCACAAGAGTATGTGCTTTGAGGGATCAGCATATGGTAGGTGTTCTTGGTTCTTGCTATTTTGCTGGTGGAGCTATGTCACTAAGAATGAATTCATTCTTTGATATTCAAGGCTGTGGCCATTTAAATAAAGCAGGTGAAGGAAAATAAAAAAAAAAAATAGATAGCGAAAGCAGGTGAGTCCCCCTTCTGCCCCCTTCTGGTTTCTCCTGTCAATCATGGCTTCAGAACCTGACCCTGAGCAACAGGCCTCCACTTGCCTCCAAGCGTCTCCAAGCACTTTTCCAAAGCCCTATTCCCGGACTGGTCTGATGTCGGGCTGCGAGGAACCAGTCGCAGGTTCTGCTTTGGGTCTGATGGGAGAAACGGATGACCCATGATGAGAAGGCCCTGGGCATGGGTGCTGGGCAGGGTGGGACAAGGAAGAGACAGAATGTATCAGGTGGAGAATGCAGGGAAGGGCATTCTTGGCCAGGAGCACAGCTTTTGCAAAAGAACGGCTCAAGGAAGAAGGCTTGGGTTGGGTGTGCCTGGACCGGGAAATTCCCCACCTGAGAAGCCATGGCAAGGCTTGGAGCATGGCCAGCTCTGTTTTTGGAAGGCTGTCCCTCTCATTGCAGTGTGTAAGGCACGGGGGTAGGATGGGGAGGGCTTCAAAGATGAAGGCATGGAGAGGAGGAAGCTAGATGGGTGATCAAAGCAAGATTCTGCAACGGGGCACTTCGGAGCACGGCTGTGCTGGAAACGACCACCAGAGGGCGCTGCGAGCCAGCAAGTCATGGAGGGCGCTGCTGGTGGCAGTTCATTC